CTCGGAGCGCGTGTACGAAGATGTGCAAACAGCTCGGGCAAAGTGCTGAACGGGACATCGACCATGCAGCAGAACTCGGCACTGTTACCCCCGAAGACCGAGCCGACCGTAAGGGACGCGAAGGGGCACTCCAGAGACTCGGGCTGAACCACGGGGTGCTTGAAGGGGGACGCCTGCGCGAAGCATTGCCCTGACGACATGGCCTGGACCAGGTGCTCCTGGGCGATACGACGAGTCCGAAAAGTCTGCATGCAGAATATACATTTGTTCGTCACAACTGCCGTGTGGACAACCGAGCGGCACGCATGACCTCCATTCAAAGAAAACCTCTGGTGCGCAAGTAAGGCCCTCCTGGTACTAAAGGTCTTGCCGCATTCCACCCCCGTCGAATCTTTTAGTTCACATCTCCAGATCGCCGCCGGGGGCGGAGGGACCTCGGGATCGCCAGGAGCCTCAGGGGCAGCAGGCCCGTAGAGGCCAGGCGGTGGTGGAATGGCGACAGTCCTCGCAGCAGCCCGAAGAAGCCCAGGATCGAGTGCCAGAAAGCGACCCCGAAGAACATCATCCAGAAAGAGTGCCCGAATATTCAGACGCCTCCAAGACTCCGACTGCCCATTGGGAACCATCAAGAGCTCAGTAAGGTCCTCGGCCTCCGAGCGATCCAAGAGACTCACGATGTCCTGGGCGAAGCGCTGCGCATACGGGTTGATCTTAGGCCCCAACGTGCCGTCATCGGTCAGCGTCGGGGTGGGCTCGAGGGGGAGCTGGCCTAATACTGCAGCAAGCTCCTGAGGGTGAGAGGAAGGGCACGTGATCCATCTTCGATAAGTACGAAGGCGTCGAACCCGAAGTTCAACCCCCGAAGGTGCTACACCGACTCTGCGAAGCACGGCTGCATCGGTCATCGCACGGTATCTGAGAATAGGTTCACCTGGCTCGTCAACTCTAGGGTCCCCATTTTCATCGAGAGCTGGAATCTTTGCACACGCATCGCCGCCTAAGAGCTTCCTCGCAAACCCGACGAGTACACGGTCAAGTCGGCCCTCCTGAGCCTCCGTTAAGATGAGAACCGTGAGGCCCGAGAGCAACGCACCCTGAACAACAGCTCCGAAAACTGTCCGAGTAAACCGCCACACTCTGTTCAGGGTCCAGAAGCGCCCCATAGAATAGTACCCCCTCCTGCAAGCTAGAATACGGCGCCTCAACTCTCCTTGCACCCCTCCGTTGATCGCCGTCTGGATCCCCAGGGCCACATTATCGAATTGGACCTGACCTGCAACTCTGACGGAGCCTCCAAAGAGAGCAGCAGCATGAGCGTGCGCACCACGACCGACGAAGGACGGAGACACTGTGCTCTTGCCCTCATTGTGTACGTACCCACTCGGAGCAAGCGCCTGTGTGAGACCCCCATGTGCTGTCTGGAGCGTGTACTGTGCATTGCGAGCAGACGAGACGATATGTGTTTTACTCGTATCATCAGCATAAATTCGGCACGAAAGATCAACAGGTCGATGCAATATGGGCGTCCATGCTGCACAGAGGGCCTCGCTTGGCCAAAGCACTCGTGACCAGTCCGACGGTGGCGCAGCAGGGACGAGGGGAGTATCCAACCATTCCTGATAACTCTGAGGTCGAGGTGGAGGATCAGACTGCCAAGTACGCGCACGAAGATCATCTAGCCAAACCTGCACTGGCCTGCGAAAAGTACGAGCGAAAAAAACCGCAGCAGGGCTATCGCCCATAAAAGCTCCGCATCTGTTGTGCATGGTTTGCTCCCCGTCGGCCCCCACGATCGTGAAGCTGCTAAACTCATGACGATGATGAAAGAAGGCCTGCTCGGGCTCTGCGATGGAGGCCTCCACAGTACGCCTAAGCTCGGAAAACCTCGAGCACCCGAACGCGTTCGACATGTCCTCCTTGGACGTGACGGAGGACATCCCCAAGACTTTGAGCCTGCCCAAGAGTGCCTCTTGACAGAGAAGGGCCCCCTCCCGATTGCGCCCATGATGGTACCCATGTTCCCTGTCGGGGACCTGATCAGGAGGACCTCGGAGCAACTGAGCCTTGAACCATGTGACCCCCATTCGGCAAAGCCCATGTATGTAGCGACGCGCCCCAAACCCCTCCTTCCCATTCTGCTTGCTGAGGCCTGTGGCTCTGGAGTGGTGCCACACAAGGGGCACGCGCCCGACGCGCCTAATATGATGGAAGACCTTCTGAATCCCCTTGAGCGTGGCCTCATTCCTGAACACCTCGGGCTCGGCTCCTAAACCGCGGCGATCTCCGGCGAGCCTATGCCGTGGAACAAAGGCTGGAACCTGCGAAGGGCCCTCCTCGTCGTCGTCGCCGTCACGAGCCTTACGTCGGGGCCTCCGAAAGCTACCGTCGAACCTACGCTGAGGGTCTAGAGCCAGCTGGAGCACTTCAGAAGGTACACTATGAAGTGGGGCCGCCTTTCGACGGGGAGCCCGAGCGAGCAACTCAAGAACCTTCTCGAGGTCCCCACGGCCGACCTCCACGTGGTCGAAGTTATCGATGCCACACATCGGGGGCCTGGGGGCAACCTCAATATGGGCCTGCTGGTACTCCAAAAAGTTGATCGGAACGGCCTCGAACCCTCCCTCTGCAGCCGGTTTGGCGAAGTGGGTGCGGATCTCCTCAAGCCTCGGAACGAACTCATCCATGTTGTTATACTTCCTGCGTTTGGGGCCCCCACATTTACCTGCAAGCACATGCGCAAGACGCCAAACTTCAGCGTGTAGCCTTTTATTCCATGCAACTCCGATTTCAGATACAAGTTGTTCCGTCACCTGAGCTTGTCTAGATCTCCGCAAGTGACGCAAACGACGGGAAAGACGAGCAAGTTGAAGAGACGTCTCGGTATCATCCTGTCCAGCAGCGCGCGCAGCCCGTCGCTCTGAAAGAAGCCGACTGCGCTCTGCTCCGAAGTTGCGAGTAGCCTCATCTGTACCAGCATTCCGTGAAAAATGGCGCTCAGCAACAGCGTAAACTGTAGTCACCCATTTGGCCCAACCCTCGTCAGGCGTCGGCGAATTCAGCATCATATCATGAAAATCCACAGACTGAAAATGCTGCTCAAGCTCGTCCACAAAGGCGCGAACACCGTGACCGTGACGAAGAGCAGCGGCGAGGCGATCAAAATCCCAAGCCGTACCCGTGGGAGTGGACTCAGAGAGATCTAGTGCATAGTCGAGCCGAAGAAGAAGAGGAACGTGATCCTGAACGCCAGCTTTCTGTACAAGTTTCAGACGTTGGTTGGATCTCCGCATCGCAATACATCTATCCACCATCGAGCGTTGCCAAGAGAATCTCCTGCACCCCAGGAATCTCCTGCACTGGGGCTGGACTACATGCAGCCTCCCGAGAACCGAACCTCGTGCTGAAGGCTGGCGGCTCCCTTAGGCCTGCCTTTCCACTTACTGTTTACATCTTGTGTTCGATGTGTGTGCTTGCTCTCTTGCGGCCAGCATGCTGACGTTTGTTCACTGGAACTGTATGGCAGCGGATGAGGCTCGGCTGCATGACATTAGTGAGGAATTCAAGCAGGTGGACGTCGTCGCACTTACAGGTACGTGCGAGAAAGCCCCCGCTGACCAGGCTGTGGTGTTCACTACGCTGCGTTACCACTTCGCTATTCGTAGCGGCTATGTTCCAGGTAAGTTCGTCAATCGCTCTTGTGGGATCACTCTTCTTCTTCGGCGGCGCGTCTTTCGTCGGAAACATGTGGTGGATGCGCCGCCAGTTCCAGTATCACTTCGGGGTCGAGTCGCTGTGTATCGCGTGCGCTCTGGCCGTTTCGATCTACTCATTCCAGTTACCTACTTTCCTCCGAAGCCGTCGAGTCGCCGTATTGGTCGTGAGTCCGTTGGCGCTGGCGCACAGAAAGGCTACAGACACACCGTCGATGCTGTATGTTCCTGGATAGAGCGTACCCTCACTTGGTCACGGAAACGCTCGGCACTGCTGTGGGGGTTCGACCTCAATGATTCTTTTGGGTGGCGCCATCGAGCAGGCGGTGTACGTGAACCCGTTCAGTCTCCTGCGCTCGGGCTCTTTCGTGAAGGTGAACAGAGGTATGCAGCTGATCGCGTCTTGGAGGTGCTGGAACGACACGCCGTCACTGTGGTTTCGACAAACTTTGATTTGGGACCTAGCTTTTACGGTGCGCTCGGCACGTCTCAGATAGATAACTCAGGAGGAGGAGGAGGAGGAGGAGGAGGAGGAGAGGAGGAGGAGGAGGAGGAGGAGGAGCAGGAGGAGGAGGGAGGATGAGGACGAGGAGGGAGGAGGAGGAGCAGGAGGAGGAGGGAGGAGGAGGAGGAGGAGGAGGAGGGAGGAGGAGGAGGAGGAGGAGGAGGACGCGCTCGACCCCTCCCAGGGGTCTGCCCTGGCCAGCTATGCGTCCCGGATCGACTCCCTGGGGGCCCAGGAGGAGCCTCGGCGGCGACGACAACTAGGGGCGAACAACCGCCCAGGGGCGGGCACTGGACGCGGCCGCCGGGGGGAGCCTCGCCGAAGACGTAGACCCTCGGCGCCCCACGCGTGGCTCCCCCCTGAGCGATTCGCCCCTACCTCCAGGTCGGGCATGTTCTCCTACAGGCGGATAGTGAAAGGAACATGAAAAATGATCTCAAAGTCATTGAAGAGAGTCCAAAACAGTCGAAAAATCCTTCCCAGGCTATTTGTACTATTTGGGGATATTCCTCCTGTACAGGGACATGCCTGACTTAACCCTGCCTAGAAAAGGAAAAAACAGCACAAACATAAACTTGTGGCGCTCCGAGCGGACTTCTTGGATCGGATCCATGAAATCTGCGCGGAGCGCCAAAAGTTTATGTGTGTCGTTTGTTTTTTCTACTACCGCCGCCTCCGAGAACCCCTGGAGCGCGGAAATAGAGGGAGCACATCCAGCGCAAGTCTTGGATCAGTGGGAGAAAAACCAGGTGTTAAATACAAACCAAAATAAAAGTGTGCCAGTCCTCGTGCACCGCCTGGCGCACCACGCCGAAGGAGCCGGAACCGAGCTCCTTGGCGGCCCTGAACTGCGACAGAGTGTACCTGGAGGCCGCCCAGCTGTGGTCGCAGCAGATGGTACGCCACGTACATATTCATATATATATATATATATATACACAGATACATATATATATATATATATAGATTATCAGACTGTTTTCTGTCGCCGGCGAGGCAGAAGAGCTGCTCCAGCGATTAGCGATCGGGGCGACCAAAACATATACACAGACACCCTCCGACGAATGTTGCATGTACCTTCAGGGAGGGTGGCAGTGCATACAAAGTCGCCAGCACTCAGCTTGTAAATGATACACCGCCGCCTTCCCTGAGGCCCAGGAACAAGCCATTGGCGGGTGTCTGTATATATATATATATATAGAGAGAGAGAGAGAGAGAAAAAAAACAAAAAAACATACATATAATTTTTCCCAGCGCAAAAACCTGATGATGAAAATTGCAAGCTTCCCAACTGATGGGAAGAGGACTCCACCATGTAGGCAAAGAGAAGGCGGTCGGGACCGAATCCCGAGCAGTGCAAAGTGGTGGCCAGGCCCACCCGTTCGTGTGACGACGCAGAGACCCAAAACAGCAAGAGGACAGGCAGGCGGAGCAGAGAGGACGGAACGGCGGGGAAGGCCGAGGGGCCGGGCAGAGAGACAAACAGCAGAGAGAACATAAATATTTAATGCAACATACCTACACACATACATGTGGAGGAGATGGGGTCGGAGGACCGCACCGCATCACCGACGCTTTGGCGACCCATCGGCGATGCTTCCGCAACGCCGGCGCGGATAACATCGGGCACCGCATCCAGCCGCACCGCCGACTTCGCGCCGACCCCGCCCGCAGCGGGCTCATGCCGTGGCGGCCCCAGCCTTCGTTCCCGGCACCGCGTCGATCGGCCGACCTTGAGCGATCGACGGCTTCTCGAAGTCCAGACCGTTCCAAGTCGGCCGACTCCGCGCCACCGGCGGCGCTCCGCCTCGAGCGCCCGCGGCGGGGTCGCCGCCTCGCCGGCACGACGCGGAGCGGCCGCATCTCGGCCTGGTCTGGGGCGGCCTTGAGCGCGCGCCTGGATCGCGAGGGCGCGCGGCAGGCACGCGCAAGGTCCTCGGACGCCCACACGGAAGCCGAAGCCGGAGGCCTCCGTGGCCCGTGGCAAGGGCCGAGGACGGACTGAGAGGCGAGGATGCAAGGGCACCCTTGGAAAGCCACTCGCCTTTCTTGGGAAAACAATCCGCAACAAACTTTAGGCGTTCCGCGCGGATTTCTTGGATCTGCGCTCGACCCCCCTGGCGCGCGGAGCGCGCCAGGGGCGGCGCCGAAGGCGCCGCTGGGGGGGCCTAGCGGGGATCCAGGAAATCCGCGCGGAGCGCCAAAAAGATTATGTTCATGGCGTTTTGTTTGTCTTCTTCGATGTATGACCCTGTTGGGTGTTCGGTTCGGCTCCCAGGAGCGCCTGGGCGCGGGCCTCTCGCCCGCCGCGCCGCCGCCAGGACCCGCCGCGGCCCCCGCGGCCATCGCCGCCGCCATTACAGGCGCATTGTCGGGGGCGCTCGCTGGCCGAGGAACGCGCTGGGCTCCCAGTGCCTGCCAGGGGCCTCGCCGCGGGGCGGGGTCGCGTTCGGGCCGAAGTGGCCCTCCTCTCTCCTCCCTCCTCTTCCCCTCCTCCTCCTCCTCCTCCTCCTCCTCCTCCTCTCCTCCTCCTCCTCCTCCTCCTCCTCCTCCTCCTCCTCCTCCTCCTGCTCCTCCCTCCTCTCCTCCTCCTGCTCCTCCTGCTCCCTCTCCTCCTCTCCTCCTCCTCTCCTCCTCCTCCTCTCCTCCTCCTCCTCCCTCCTCCTCCTTGCTGCTCTCCTCCCCCTCCTCCTCTTCCTCCTCCTCCTCCTCCTCCTCCTCCTCCTCCTCCTCCTTCCTGCTCCTCCTGCTCCTGCTCGTCCTCCCCCTCCTCATCCTCCTCCTCCTCCTCCTCCTCCTCCACCTCCTCTTTCCTCCTCCTCCTCCTCCTCTCCTCCTCCTCCTCCCCTGCTCCTGCTCCTCTCTCCTCCTCCTTCCTCATCCTGTCCTCCTCCTCCTCCTCCATCCTCCTCCTCCCCTCCTCCTCCTCCTCCTCCTCCTCCTCCTCCTCCTCCTCCTCCTCCTCCTCGTCCTCCTCCTGCTCCTGCTCCTGCTCCTGCTCCTGCTCCTGCTCGCTCCTCCTCCTCCTCCTCCTCCTCCTCTCTCCTCCTCCTCCTCCTCCTCCTCCTCCTCCTCCTCTCTCCTCCTCCTCCTCCTCTCCTCTCTCCTCCCTCCTCCTCTCGTCCTCCCTCCTGTTCCTCCTCCTCCTCCTCCTCCTTCTCCTCCTCCTGTTCCTCCTCCTCCTCCTCCTCCTCCTCCTCCTCCTCCTCCTCCTCCTCCTCCTCCTCCATTCCTTTCCTTCTCCTTATAGATAACTCCTTCCTGTCGCACCCCGAAGCCAGTTTTTAAGGGCGGGCCGGAGGTTTCGCCTGAGATTTCCGCACCACTTATGACTCTGAAGCTGAAAAAGTGATAACCGTTTCACAAATGGAGGGCGGGTCCCTTTCAAAATGTGGCTGTCGAATTAGCGCCGCGGACATTCGTTTTTTTTTAATTTGCAAAAAAAACACGGATTGACGGCGGGTGGTTTTCAAAATGTGGCTCTCGCCTTAGCGCCGCGCACACTCGTCTTAAAAATGTGCAAGAGCTTCACGGATTGAGGGCGGGTCGTCTTCAAAAGGTCGTTCTCGCCTTAGCGCCGCGCACACTCGTGTAAAAAATACAAGATTTTCACGGATTGTAACCGGGTCGTTTTCAAAATGTGGCTCTCGCCTTGACGCCGCGCACATTCGTTTTAAGAATGTGCAAGAGCTTCACGGATTGAGGGCGGCTCCTTTTCGACATTTGGCTCTCGCCTCAGCGCCGCGTACATTCGTTTCTAACATTTGCAAGAGTTCTACTACTTCCCATGATCAACGCACCAAACATGGTGTTTTGGAAGGATTCAGGAGTATGCGGGCGCGACCGTTATGTTGATTCGCTGTCCCAAAAATGGCGTTCTGGCACGACTCTGGATCGTCAAGACGCAGCAATCAGGTAGATACGTGGCGTTGAAATCCTGAGAACAATGTTCTGGCACGCTTCAGAATATTCAAACTGTTGTTTGTCTTCCAACGAGGCAGTTCCCTCAATGGAAATGAACCGTTGTATGGGCCTACGAAGAGGGAGCTTGGAGGGAGGGATAATTCCAACATCGTTGATGATTCTTGTGTTTCCACTGGTCCTCCTCCTCCTCCTCGTCCTCCTCCTCCTCCTCCTCCACCTCCTTTATTGAGCAGGCTGCTGAGCGCCGCGGCTCCTCCTCCTCCTCCTCCTCCTCTTCCTCCTCCTCCTCCTCCTCCTCCTCCTCCTCCTCCTCCTCCTCCTCCTCCTCCTCCTCCTAGGGGGTGACCGGTTGGGGCCGCCGCGACTTTGTGCCCGCCGGGTGGGGCGGCCTTGAATACTACCGAGACGGTTTTCTGATGCTCTGGTGCACGTGCATCTCCACCGCCCCGACACGCAACGCGCAACCCGTGGCGTGTTGACACGGAACTCGGCGCGCAAACTGGAAGCGTAGGTGTGCTGCGAGACGCTCGCCAAAACGTGGGCCAGCACGCGAAGCCAACACGCAGTGTGTTAACGCGGACGTCTTGAACTTTTGTGCGTCGGCGGCTAGACAGAGTGACTGCGCTGGCGAAAGAAGCGTGGTCTGGTTCCCGGAACGCAGATTCGGCCACCATGCAGGAGGACGGGGAGGAGGCGCCCGGCGACGGCGGGGGGGAGAGGGAGAGGCATAGCCCGCGCACAGCAGGGCCAGGCGCGTGGCAGGGGCGGCGCGGGGGGGGGAGCCAGCAGCGGCGGGCCAGGAGCCGGCGGGAGGGCCGAGGACAGCTGCGGGGCAGCGTGCTGTGGCCGACGTCTCGAACACGGCACGGGCGTCGCTTCAACACAGGCGTAGCGAGGCAGCCAAGGTGGCAACTTTGCATGCCCAAACGGCGCGCTGGTTCCAGGCGAGCCCGTGGGCCTGGTCGGTCCGATCCTCCCCCCCCCTTGTCCCTCCTCGTCCTGCTCCTGCCCCGCAGGAAGACTGCGGGGGCGCAGGTCTGGAATGCCAGGCTCCTCCTCCTCCTCCTCCTCCTCCTCCTCCTCCTCCTCCTCCTCCTCCTCCTCCTCCTCCTTCTCGCCCTCCCCCTTGAAAGCCGAAGCCCATCCAAGTGCGAGATCCATCGCTGCAACTGTTCGAAAGGGTCGGCTCCGGAAAGCGGTTGAACCATCTCTGGGTGTATCACGAAGCGGTCAGCCGCAGGGCAACGGCTGAATTCGAAATGCGCGTTCAAGAACACCGGTGCCCATGGAGGAAGGAGACGAGGACGGCAACAACGACCACGACAACCACGACGACGACGACGACGACGACGACGACGACGACGACGACCATGACCATGACGGCGACGACCGATCGGCAGACCCAGCCAGGAGGGCAGCAGGAATCTCAAGGGTAGCAGCAAATGCAGGAGCACTCCGAAGGAAGATGAGAATCCGCTCTGCGCGCGCGAGCAGGAGGAGGAGGAGGAGGAGGAGGAGGAGGAGGAGGAGGAGGAGGAGGAACAGGTGGATGTAGTGGGGAGGACCCGAAGGAGAACAGTGAGGGCAGAGAGGGGGGAGGCGGGCGCTCCTGGGGCCCGCCTCGAAAGCCCGCCAGGGGGGGTACAGAACTCTGGGGCGCCTGCGGAAAAGCGAGCCCCCATGAGAGTGGTCGGATACCCTGGTGCCGCTTGGGTTCGATGGGGTGGGGCTTGCGCGCGGTTGCAGGCGTGCAGCAGCAGCAGCAGCAGCAGCAGCAGCCATGCCGAGAGCAGCTTGAGAAGGAGGGGGTGGAGGGAAACACAGTCCCCCACCTGTCCTCCCCATCCTCCTTCGCATCTTCCTCCTCCAATACTCTGTCCTCCCTCACTCCTCTCTCACTCTCTCTCTCTCTCTCTCCTCCCTCCTCCCTCCCCTCCCTCATACCTCCTCCTCTTGCGTTGCACAAACATGCCTAGCGGTGGCGCAGCATATGAAGACGTCGAACCGCGAAACTAATATCTAAGTTCGACGTGCGACGTAAGATGAAAATCTGAGCGCAGTGCGCGCCCAAGAACAACTTCGAAGCGGGGCGAAGACACATGGAAAGTAGAGTGGCCCACGGGGGTATCAAGGTGGACACAGCGGCAATGGAACGACCTCCACCAACCACCACCATTCCCTTCATCCTCCTCCTTCCATCATCAACATCAGCAGCAGCAGCATCATCATCATCAGCATAATCATCATCAGGAGCAGCATCATCACCATCATCATCATCAGCCTCATCATGCTCCTCATCCACCTCCTCCTCCTCCTCCTCCTCCTTCTCCTCCTCCTGCTCTGTTGTGGAGGATGAGGAGGAGGAGGAGGCGGAGCAGCAGCAGCAGCAGCAGCAGCAGCAGCAGCAGAAGGAGCGACGGCGGGGGAAGGCGCCGACGGCGGCCAGGGGCCTCGACGACAACCCCGACCACGACCAGGACGACAACGACGACGACGACGACGACGACGACGACGACAAAGGAGACGACGACGATGGCGGCCATAACGGCGACAGGAGGCGCACAGCCCTCTGCCCGGCGGGCGGCCGCGGGGGCGCCGCGGCCTCCCTGCCGCGCAGCCTCGGGGGGGGAGTCTGCCGCGCTGTTCTGCAGATGCTGCTCCTCCTCCCCCACCGGGGGAGAGCAGGACCCAGACCCCTCTCGGGACGCACAAGGACAGACCACTACTACTACTACTACTACTACTACTACTACTACTACTACTACTACTACTACTACTACTACTACTACTACTACTACTACTACTACTACTACTACTACTACTACTACTACTACTACTACTACTACTACTACTACTACTACTACTACTACTACTACTACTACTACTACTACAACTACTACTACTACTACTACTACTACTACTGACTACGACTACGACTACTACTACTACTACTACTACTACGACTACTACTACTACTACTACTACTACTACTACTACTACTACTACTACTA